ATGCAAAATAGGAGTGCCATACAGCCCTCCCCAGAGTCTGGATCAGGAGAACAATCAAGATTTTTCCACAATCAGTTTTATAATTATGCAGTTCAATGAACGGTTGGCAGGTCACTGCAATTTTAAACTGTAAATCTCAAATAAAGCAGATCCCAATTGATCTACCCTGAGCTTCAAAGCCATGAATAATTCAATTTCCTTCACACAACATAGATGTTTTGATCCTCAAAAAGTGTGGACAACAAAATTAGGCCAGTTTTAGGCCAGAGTTTACATACAATTAAATCTTTGCCATTTTGCAAATATCATGGCAACCCAAGCAATACCCCACAATTTTAACAAGAAGTACAACATAACTCTGATCTTGCAAAATCAATGTTACAAACTAGGATCTTTCAAGAATCAGTATGTTTGGATTTGGAAGAATAGCTCATTAAAGAAATATAGTCATCTCCACGTTGCTCCTCTAATTTCTCAGTACTAATTATCAATTACTAATTATTGTTCTGTATGGGTTTCTTCAAGCTCAAAGTGTTCTAGCTCTGATGAGGATAGCCAGCTTTCAGACTCTATGTCATTCTAACTGCTTGCCTTCCCACCTAATTTTGCATCATCTGCAAACTTGGCGATAGCACATTCATTTTCCTCATCCCAATCATTAATATATATCGTAAATAATTGTGACTCCAGCACTGGTCTCTGTGGCACTCCGTTAGTTAATTGAAAATGCCTCGCTAATCCCAACTCTTCATCTTCTATCAATTTACCAATCTTCTAACCATGCTAATATACTACCCTCAACACCACTGGCTCTTACCTTATAAAGTAGCCTTACATACAGTATCTTATCAAACATCTTTTGGAAATCCAAATATATTACATCCACTGGTTCTCTTCACAACTGTACTTGGTTATATTATATATTTCTAAATGCTCCATTAGTAATTCTTTTTAATAGACTCTTGCATTTTACCAATGACAGATGTTAAGTTAATTGTCCTATAGTTAGCTGCTTGTGTCTCCTTCCCTTTTTGAATAAGGATGTTACCTTGATAGTTTTGTAAAGCACTGGGACTTTTCCCAATACTAAAGATCCTTGGAAGATTACTGCCAGTGTCCTGACGAAAGGTTTTGGCCCAAAACATTGACTTCCCTGCCCCTCGGATGTTGACTGACCTGCTATGCTTTTCCAGCTCCACATTTATTGACTATTACTGCCAGTGTATTCCCTCATTATTTCTGTAGCTACTTCACTTAAAATCTGAAGATGCAACACATCAGGTCCAGGGGACTTATCAACTTTGAGTCCCACTAATTTCCTAAGTACTCTTTCTCTAGTAACTGTCATCATGTATATTCTTCACACCTTCCCCCACCCCACCTTCTCTTGGTCCTTTTGATTATTTAGCATTTTTGGAATGCTACTAATTCCTCCACAGTGAAGACTGATACAAAGTATTTGTTCAACCCCTCTGCCGTTTCCTGATTCTTTATTATTATTTCCCCAGCCTCAATCTCTAAGGGGCCTATGTTTACTTTGGCCCCATTTCCTTTTTATACATTCAAAGAGTTCTTATTTTACATTTTTACATTACTTGCTAGTTTGCCCTCAGTTTATTTATCCAATTTTAATTACTTGTCAATTATCTTTTGTTGCCTTTTACAACTTTCCCATTCCTCTGGTTTATCAGTAAACTTTGCTATATTGTATTTCTTTTCTTTCTGTTTGATACCATCTTTAACTTCCTTGGTTAATTGTCATTGATTCATTCCTTCCTAGAATCTTCATTCCTCACTGGGATACATCTTTTCTGAGTAATGAAGTATATTGTTAAAAGTCTGCCATTGTTCTTTAACTGTCTTTCCTGTTAAAATCCTGCAGTCCACACCAACCAACTCTGCTCTCATCCCTATTAATTACCCTTATTTAAGTGCAGCACAGTTGTACGTGACCCAAGATTCTCACTCTCAAACTAAATGCTATATTCTACCATTTCATGGTCACTGATCCCTAAAAGAGACTCTTTTATTCTAAAATCATTTATTAAACCTGCCTCATCACCTATACCAGATCCAAAATAAGCTGATCTATAGTTGGACTGTTCGAGGAAAGTGTCCTTAATATATTTTATGAATGCTTTCTGATGGCTACCTTTGCCAATTTGACTTTCCCAATCTACATGAAGATTAAAGTAACCCATGATTAGTGCACTGCCTTTTTTGCTTGTCCTCATCATCTCCTGATTATTGCTTTCCTAAGGGCCTACAGACTACACCAACCAGTAGTTCTTCCCCTGGTTAGTCCTGACTTCCACCCGTATGGATTCCACAGTAACTAATCCGAGGTCACTTTATGCTGCCATACTTATTCTAAACTGTAATGAGAAAGCTACCTCATCATTCTACCAGCATGTCTGTCCTTATAAAAAGCCACATAACCCTGAATATTTAGTACCTAGCTTTGATATCCTTGCAACTATGTCACTGCAACAGGTTTAAGATCATTCCCATTAACCTCTATTTGTGCCATAAATTTGTTTATTTTGTTCCAAATATTAAGTGCATTTACATAAGGAGCTATCAATTTTGCCTTTTTTTAAACCTCTTGCTCCCCTTTTTCCCCAATTCCTGCTTCTTTATAATGTTTGAATATTCTCTCCCATCCTGTCTTCCTCCAAGTATCACTGCCAAAATAGTTTCCCAATAATGCCACTATGTTGTTTTGCTTTATAGGCCTACATTTCCCCTTCCCAAACCCTCACTCCCCTATTAATCTAAAATCCTCTCGACAGCCCTATATATTCGATTCTCCAGGGCACTGTCCCTGCATGGTTCAAGTGAACTTCTTCAACCAGAACAGCTTCCTTCTACCATAACACTGGTATCAGTATCCCATCAACTGGGACCCTTTCCTCCTATACTTTACTTACTTTATTTATCCACGTCCATGTTCAATATGCTAGTGCCTCAGGTAGTAATCTTGAGATTACTTTGGAGGTTCTGCACTTTACTTTAGCAACTAATTGCTTGAAACTTTTTAGTAGAACATCCTTTAGTCCTATCAATGTTGTTAGTACCAATGTGGATGACAACAACTGCACCTTTCTCCGCCCATTCCAGATTTGTCTCCAACTCTGACAGCAAGCAGGCAACATAGCCTTCAGGTTGTCTTCACTCCTGCAAAGAACACTATCTATCCCTCTAATTATACTGTCCCCTATCACTATGCTCTTGTTTCCTTCCCTCACTTGAATGCCTCCCTTTCCCACAGTGTTGTGGTCAGGTCATGATCAGTACAGTACCCCTCTTATTCTCATAGGTTACAAGAACCTCTTAACTTTTGAACAACTGAAGGGACTGAGGCTTCTCAAGAGTGCCCCTTGGTCCTCATACCTGCCTCACTTATAATCACACCCTCCTGTCCTTGATCACAGACCAAGTTTGAATTATCTAATTTAAGGTGTGTGACTGCTTCCTGAAGTAAATTCTTCAAGTAACCTTCACCCTCAGATATGTAAAGTAATGTCTGGAGCATAGATTCCAGATCCTTACCTTTGAAGTGCTCGTGTAGGGAGTAGTATATTTTCATTGATAAACTCGATGGACTGAAGTGCCTCCTCTGTAGTGTATGATTCTACATTATCATGCTATTTCACTTGGTTTTTCTCACCTACCTAACTTTCCTGAAAATGTTAGAAGTAGAATTTTTATTTGGAAAACACATTCCAAATTGCTTATCTATGATTCCTCTTCAAAAATATATGCAGCTGGTGATTAGGTTAGGATAGAATTGGGGTCAGCTGTGTCCTTCATACTAAACCGCAAACCAATAATCACCATTTAGACTGACTTAAAAAAGCTGTGCCAGCGTCTGGCAGCACGGCAGCTAAAGGAATGGTTAGCACTGCTGCCTCAGAGCACCAGGGACCCAAGTTCAATTTCACCCTCGGGCAACTGTGCAGGCTCCATACAGACATTCTCCTGTGTCTGCGTGGGTTTCTTCCAGGTGCTCCAGTTTACTCCCATTTTGCAGGTTAGGTGGACTAACCATGCTAACTTGCCCACAGGGTCTAGGAAACGCAGGTTAGGTGGATTAGCTGTGGGAAATGCAGGGTTACAGGGATAGGGTAAGAGGGTGGATATGGGTGGGATGCTCCTCGGACGGTAGGTGTGAACTCAATGGGCTGAACGGCCTGTTTCCACATTGCAGGGATTCTATGACATCTAAAACTTGCAAAACCTGACCTTGGCAAGAATGAAACTCTTCTGCAGAGAAGAAGATAACCATACAAGTAGGGTTTTTGTGGGTAAGAATGAGAAAAACACATACAAAGCCATGTAACAGTGGTTTCAAGTTTCTCCTTCCTATAATACAACAAATTCAAAGGCAGTGGAATCAATATAAAAGTATACAGTAAGAAAGGCTTTACCTCACCCTACATGCAGGATCTAAATCCTGATTTATCTTCCACCTACCATGACGTCTACCTAATTCTTTGATAAACTTGGACCAAGTTAATTTGTTCCTGAGTTTCTAGAGATCACATTTACTATTGACCATTTCCATAGGGCAACTCTTGAAGGAGCTAATGCTATTACATTTAGGTTGAGGCTTCCTAATCAACATCAGGTTTGAAGTCTCTTCCCTCAACTATTCTGAATACGCTGAATCAATTTTCAGATCTTTCATGGATATTATATATGCGTCACGTACCTTATTGACATGAAAACTGATTTATTGTCAATTTGTGTCACTAACATCTTCAAAATATATATAGCTGAAAAACAGCATTTTTCAGACTTTTTTTCTGAAATGCAATCACTTAAAGCTTCCCTATTTCTAACTCATTACAGCACTTACCTATCAAATAGAATATACTTGGAAGGGTAAATAGATGAATCGACATCTACAAAAGTGAATAATTTTTGGATTGGGCCTCTAATAATTTTTCCCTTATTTTGGAATTCCAGTACTTGAGATGTTATTTTCTGGTACTTACTCGTGGACTCTGTTGTCACCATACAAGTCACTCAATCCAAAGCTGACATAATGCCAGTGTTCTGGAACATCCTGTGTTGGGCTCCCTGGATTTCTATACATGCTGATGTAGTCCAGCGGATCTGGTCCTCCCAACCTTCAGAGAAAGAGAGAGAAGTCAGAATGGATTTTACTCACTGATTGCAAATGTGCTTGAGAAGGCACGGTATGGGGTGTTAAGAGGGAACAAATAAAACATGGCTTGGGGGCAGAGAGAAAAGACATTTAAAACAAGATTATGCTCAGTCAAGCAAATTTTTAAAAATTATTATTTTTAAGTCACTAAAATATTGCTGAGATAATTCCAATAAGTCTATTAAAGCCAAGTGCACCTTACAGCCAAGTTTGTGAAGTAGAAAAAATATGGTCCAAAAGTATTTAAGGGATTATACAATAATAGGACAAGGCAACCGTAATAAAATCAAATTCATGTGGATAAATTCTTTATCCAGTAACACCCAATGAAATGCCATTGTAAAATCAAAAGTCAGAAAAGAAATTTCCCATACTTAATTTTTGGTGCTGGTGGTACAGGGAGATTGCAGGGAAGCAATGTTGAATTGTTTTGGTTTCACAGGCCACTTACAGGCAAAACCTCTCGTGCCAGTCACAGTATCTCACTAGTTTATAAATGTAGTTAACTCCAACTAATAGACTTTGTTGTTCTGATTCAGGATATACTCCACCAATAAAACAGCTATATTAACCGCAGCGTTTCCCAAATCTGCAGGCCTAATTTCTAACAGGCCAAATAAGTGATCATAAAATAAATTAAAATATTATTCAGTAAATTTGCTCGTGGGCTCCAAAGGTCAAAGAACAATATATCATAGGACTTAGTGTGAGCATAAACCGCTTCAACAATCATAACTGAATAGCTTCAAGATTTAAGCAGCAGAATCTCAGGTGATGAGGGTGTCTAAGAACAGTGTTGTCACAGCAATATGCCATGATCACATTAAACTGATTTTTCCAGATGAATACAGAATATTCAGATGCAGCCTCAGCCCACAAATCAAATTCAGTCAACTAGCTATTTGAACTGGGCTGCTGAGGCTTAGTGAAACTTTTAGGTTCTTGCTCCAAACATATTTACTCCCTACTCCCGTATCCTATTCTCATTGCTATTATGCACAACAGTGTTCAGGTGGCATTAAGTGTGTCAGAAAGCTCATGACATTTTCAGGTTTACAATTCTTCTAACCCAGGTCCACTGTTTTTCTTTGCATCTGACTCTCATGGTCATTTATATTTACATTATATTGCATTACATTACAACTGAAATACAAATACGCAAAAGACTACAATTTCTGTCCCTATGATTTGAAAAATATAGAACAATCAATATCAGTGTAGTAGACTGCATGGCCATGTTAAAGGTTTTTTTTGTTATAAATCACTCATGGTACTTGGGTGGGCATTGCTGGTTGAGCCATTTACTGCCACTTTCTTGATGGTGGCTAGAGATGGGCAATCAGCTGCCTTTTTGAACCACTACAGTTCACATGCCATAAGTTGACCCACAATGCCCTTAGGGAGGGAATTCCAAGATTTTGACTCACTGACACTAAAAGGAACAATATATTTCCAAGTTGGGATGGTGAAAGACTTGGAGGTGATATCCCACATATCTGCTGTCCTTGACCCTCTAAACGGAGACAGTCGTGGGTTTGGAAGGTGTTATTTAAGAATCTTTGGAGATTTTCTGCAGTGCATCTTCTAAATAGTACATACTGCTGCTACTGAGCATTGGTGGAGGAAGGAGTGGACGCTTTTGGATGTGTTGTCGTTCAGCGGGCTGCTTTGTCCTGATGGTGTCAAGCTTCTTCAGTGTGACTGGAGATGCACCCATTCAGGCAAGTGGGGAGTATTCCATCATATTCCTGAACTGTGCCTTGTAAATGCTAGCAGACTTTGGGGATTCAGGGGAGTTACTCGTCACAGTACTCCTAGCCTCTGACCTGCTCTTGCAGCCACTGTGTTTATGTGGCGAGTCCAGTTGAGTTTCTGGTCCATGGTAACACCATTGAATGTAAAGGGTGCAGTGGTTAGATTGTCATTGCCTGACATTTGTGCTGTGCAATTGTTACTTGCCACTTCTCAGCCTAAGCCTGGAATGTGTCCAGATCTTCTTCCATTTTAAGATGGACTGCTTCAGTATTTGAGGAGTCACAAATGATGCTGAACATTGCACAATCATCGGTAAATATCCACACTTCTGACCTTATGATGGAGGCAAGATCACTGATGAAGCAGTTGAAGATGGTTAAACTTGGGACACTGCCCTGAGCAACTCCTGCAAAGATGCCCTGGAGCTGAGATAACTGACCCCCAACAACCACAACCATCTTCCTATGTGCCAAATATGGCTCCAACCAGCAGAAAGTTTGCCCCCAATACCCACTGATTTCAGTTTTGCTAGGGTTCCTTAATGCCACACCCAGTCGAATGCGGTCTCGACGTCAAGGGATGCCACTCTCACCTCACCTCTGGAATTCTGAGCTTTTGTCCATGTTTGGACCAAGGCTGTAATGAGATCAGGAGCTGACAGAACCCAAACTGGGAGTCAGTGATCAGGTTATTGCTGAGCAGATGCTGCTTGATAGCATTGTAGCTGACACCTTCCAACACATTACTGAGTAGACTGATGGGGCAGTAATTAGCCAGGTTGGATCTGTCCCACATTTTATGTACAGGAACTACCTGGTAAATTTTCCATATTGTCAGGTAGATGCCAGTGTTGTTACTGCACTGGAAGAGCTTGGTTAGGGGAGCAGCAAGTTCTAGAGCACAAGTCTTCAGTACTATTGCCAGAATGTTGTCAGGGCCCATAGCTTTTGAAGTATCCAACTGTCTCTTGATAATCACATAGAGTGAATCAAATTGGCTGAAGACTGGTATCAATACTGCTGGAGACCAATGGAGGAGGCCAAGATCGATCATCCACTTGGCACTTCCAGCTGAAGATTGCTGTGGATGCTTCAGCCTTATCTTTTATACTGTCGTTTTGGGCTCTTCCATCGAGGATGGCAATATTTGTGGAGGCGCCTCCTCCTGGGAGTTGTTTAATTGTCCACTTCCATTCACTAGTCATGTTTGTTAGCTTCATTAGGTTGACACCTCATTTTTAGGTGGCCTTGTACTGCTCCTGGCATGCCCTCCTGCACTTTCCATTAAACCAGGTTGTTTCCTTGGCTTGGTAGTAATGGTTGAGTGAGGGATATGCCAGGCCAAGAGGTTGCAGATTGTGGAGTACAATTCTGCTGCTGTTGACAGCCCACAGTTCCTCATGGATGCCCAGTCTTGCGTTGCTAGATCTGTTCAAGTCTGTCCCATTTAGCATGGGTGATAATGCCACACAACATGATGGAAGGTATTCTTAATGCGAAAGCAGGACTTCATCTTTACAAAGACTGTGTAGCAGTCACTTCCTGATACTGTTATGGATACATGCATCTACAGCCAGCAAATCGGTAAAGAAGAGGTCAAGTATGTGGTTTCCTCACCACCAGCTGCAGACCCAGTACAGCAGCTATGTCCTTTAGGACTTGACCATCTCGATCAGTCAGGACACTGAAATTGCCATCCAGAGTACCTTTTGCACCCTTGCCACCCTCAGTACTTCCTCCAAGTATTGTTCAACATGGAGGCTGAGGCAGGGCAGTATTCAGCAATCAGGTTTCCTTCCCTACGTTTAACCTGAGGCCACGAGACTTCACAAGGTTTGCAGTCAATGTTGAGGACTCACACGGCAACTCCCTCCTGACTGTATACACCATGTCGGTGGGACAGGACATGTCCACGGTGTTGTCTGGACTGATACCTGTAAGATGTGATTCCGTAAGTATGACTATGTCAGGCAGTCGCTTGACCTGTCTGTGTGACAGCTCTCCCAATTTTGGCACTACCTTTCAGGAGGCATTTGCAGGATCAACAGGCCTGTTTTTGTCGTTACCTTTGACTTTTCCAGTGCCTAGGTCAATACTCCAAGTGGTCAGTCCAGTTTCATTTCTTCATTGAAACTTCATGGCAATTGACACAACTGAGTGGCTTCCTAGGCCATTTCACAGGGCAGTTGAGAGTCAGTCAGTCACATTGCTGTGGCTCTGAAGTCACATGTAGGCCAGCCAAGGTGACGATGGCAGGTTGCTTTCCCTGAGGGACATCAGTGAGCCAGATGGGTTTTTCAACAATTGACAATGGTTTCATGGTCATCAGTAGATTCTTAATTCTTGACATTTTATATTGAATTCGAATTTGAATCTCGCCATGGCAAACAATTGAAGAGTCTCCAGAATATTAGCTAAGTTTCTGGATTAATAGTCTAGCAATAATACCACTAGGCCATCGCCTCCCATTAAGGCAGTGATCTATTTTCCCCCAGAGCTTCATTAATTATGAACGTAATTTTTCTAATTTTGCAAAAAAAATTAATTTTACAAACAGCTACTAAAATTGCAAACTTTTTCAACTTACTGAAAGGTTTTGTGTTGTTTTAAGACTAATGTGTATGAAAAGCAGTTTCTTGGCAATTTCACAAATTGTCAGAAGTAGGCTCAAGTTAATTTTTGATGATTTTATATTATACATAACCTCAAATGATCTTGTACCAACTAAAAGCCTCCTGCAATAACTATACTCATATTAAACATTTACTTTGGAGTCTTTAGCCAAAACTGAAAGTGGACTCAACATGCAAATGGCTAACAGTGGAAGTGGAATCTCAATTTTATTATGCTCCAATCAGTCCAGCATCCTACATTTACTACGTACGGAACACAAAACCTGTCCACTGATCCAGGTAGTTGGAACACCTGTTTTCGTGTCATCTGCAAACTTGGCTATACTATATTCAATCCATTCTGACACATATTCACTGATTTCATATTCTTTAGTGTTATGCGTTTGATTATTATGGAATATCTTATCGCAGACATTCTGAAAATTCGATAAATTATATCTACTGGACCATTATCCATGCTGTTACCTTCTCAAATATTCATTAAAGGAAAGCGAAGCATGATTGTACCTTTTCAAATCAATGTGATTATTCATAATTATGTATCTCATTTCCCAATGGTACCTTACCAACAATAC